AATAACTTTTTTGCAGTTTGAGAAATTTCAGAAATTTCAAGGTCAACTTCACATTTATTAATAATAATTATAATATTATAATTATTATTATTATAATTCTTGTTTTCAAGAAAATAATCATTGTTATTATTATTAAATCAAATTTATTATTACAGATCAAATTCACACTATATTTAATAACATTCATATTAAATATAAAATTTTAATAAAATGCTATAAATAATTATTACACATCATTATTTCTAATCAAAATTGTATTATTTTGTAACTAAGTATATAAATATAAGAACTGAATAAAATTTTCTAAATAATCATTCATATGATTTACAGAAGGGTTAATTTGGGTGCAAAATCTATGTATGTATATTGCTTTTGCACACGTAATTTTTAAAATGTGTATCTGTTAAAGATATACACAATCAATTAATACAAATAACATATATACAAAAACTTATTTATTGGTAAATTTCATTTGTACAACGTATTACAAATCATTTATCTAAAAGAATTAATGCCATTTCGATGTTTCGAGAAACTCCATACCTTCTGCCTTCAGACGATTCAATATAGGTCGATAAATATCTGCTGTGAATGGTAGTACCACGCCTCTTTGTTGAATTTCACCTGAAGCAAACGTTACAAATACACAGTTATTAATAATAAATGCAATATATGATATAGTTTTATTATTAACCCTTAGCACTGGACTCATGAATGTCTTCAACATTGTATTTATATTTTCTCTTGTAGAGAATGTTTTTGCATTTAAATTTCTTTTAAACCGTTTATAAAAATACGAATAGTCTCGTAATAATAATATTTTACTTAAACTACGTCTTACGACAATGCATCTAGTTTGTACCAAAAAAATTAGAATATTTGGAAATTTCAAAAGAATCAAACTGAACTAAGGGTATTGCTGGGATCTTGAGTGACCCCACCAGCGTATTTCCATCTTTTATTTATAGTAAAAGTTTAATTCTCGATGTTCATATTATTTTATATATATATATACCAGCTAAGAATAAAACGTTTATTTACAATAGAACTAGATTAATATACATTTTTGCACTTTTTATTTAGTGCTTATCAAAGTCATTGTACCAGTTAAGGGTTAATAACGTATCTATGATAATAATGGTAATAATGGTAAAATCTATGGTAATAATAATTAATGATGCAGAAACTGTACCGTCAAGAATCATTTTGACAGCAATGGCCGTGGGATATCCAACCGTGCGCGCCATAGCGGAGTGTCCGTTCACGTCCCCATACAACACTAAATTGATTCCCTTCGTTTCTCGTCTGTTATCTGGCCAGAGAATACCGATATCATGTCTCAAGATTACGAGATCTCTTTCGTTCTCCCCGTAGCATAATTTTTTCGATAGATAATACGTCAGTGTATCGAGTGGAGTGTTTAGCTTCAAGACCAAATCCTCTTTAAGAAGCCCCAAATCTTCAACAGCATGCACAGCAGCGTCTGAATTCAATACATCTCCCAATTTTCTTTTGAGATTTTCATAAAAAATGTTATCGTTCGCCAAACCTAATAAATTACAAATCAGCACTCTCTGAAAACATGGAAAATTGGATTAATTTCCTCACAACCTGTTTAAGTCTAAAAAGTAAGATGGTAAATGCTATTATTAATAATTAAGTTTTATCAGTAACAAGAATAAATGTAAACTTTGGAATTGGTTATTCAAACATCCGAATATTTACCGATGTAAAAAATGAAACATCTTTAATATTCAGTTTGAATATTTGATTATTCTTTAATCTACATTATTGACTATAATATTTAGCGAGATATTTATAGATGTTACATTTAATGACATTATTATTTTAGTAAATAATAAATTATATTATTATTCGATTAAGTACGATTTAGGTAATAAAAATTGTAAATCACTATTATATGAAGTAATAAATTAATGTAATCTGTTATAATCTGGATATACTTATTTATAACACTCTCATAAGGAAAAATGCTATTATTTTGCAGATAATACTATTTCAAGTATGA